GACCAATGTGACATCTGCAAGGCTTTAGCAGTGTCCCAAAGAGACCAATGTGACAGGAATTAAAATGAACCGAAACAGATTAATAGTCCCCATTGAGTGAAAAACAAATTCCACGAGTATGTTTCAAGATGATCCTTTATCTTTTCAAGATTTGGAAGAAATTCCTCATATGAGCATATGCATCTCTCAACTAGAAAATTCACCTATATTAATTTAAAACCAAAATTGGACTTTAATTGAAGACCACATCACAGCTGTAAAGAAATTTCAACATGGAATAGAGTAGAAACAGGATATCCATTTGCAGTTAACATTTTATATGGCTATTTGTAGTCTCTGTTTATATGAAGGATAACATTTCCCTCTGGGTGGACCTCAGAGCATGCAAGATGACAGCATGCATTCAGGAGACACTCTGAATTCATTGTGAGTAGAACCTGAGAATTTTTTACATGAAACTATTTAGATCTCTAATCACCTTGATTCTGAAGCAGTGTCCTGTCTAGTATAACAGAAAAACAAGGAACTGCATTAGCACAGACAGTCCAAAATCGGGACTTAAATAAAAAGGCATTTCTACAAGCCACCAGTAAGTTAGAAATAAGGTTACTGCAACAATGAGCTATATGAATAATTATGCTGTTTTAAATCAATGACTACCAGAAAACTACCAAACCAAAACTATACCATAAGTACTTTCTCTGGAAAAGTCTTGTTTTTCTCATTAAGAAATTTTATAAATGGGTAGAAGTAATGAGTACCACTTTTTTAAAACTATCATTTTCCTTTGACCAATGTAAATTTAATACAAATAATTTTAAAATATAACCTTAAAACCTGAAAAGCAGTTTTAAGGGGGTAATAAAGATATCTGTTGACAGAAACATTACATTTGAGAAGTGGGTGTTATAAAATACATCATCATACAGAATTGTTTTTAAATACTAAACAATGAAATAATAATAAATTTTTAAATAATAATAAATTAAATAATAATAAATTTATAAATTTTTAATAAATTACTTCAAAATAAGATAAAAGACAAATTTTCCTTCTTTTATCATTTCAACTCTGCAAATGAAACCACTAGCCAACTAATAATAAAAAGATCTTGACTTCTTTTTCTGAACATGCTTAAAAGCAGTACTCTAATGTGTTTTTAATAGTCAGGACAGTAGTCTTGGAGAAAGAGGCTTAACCTGAATTTCAAATTTCAAATTAATGTATTTTAAAAGGTGATAGATTATTAGCCTATATCCTTCTCTATTCTAGTTCCTATTTGAATAACAATATTTAGAGATTTATTTCATGCAACTAATAAGATATAGACACCTAAGTGAGAAGAAAATTATAACTGGTAGTATTAGGAACTTCCTTCCCCCATTATTCCAAATACTTCCAGATATCATTATGCATACATAATGTTTACTCTGAAACAAGTGGACATGAGAGATGTAGAGTTCAGAAACCACTGGATTAAAACCATGCTCTTGAATATCTTTATTCTCAGAAAATACACTCTAAAGTATTAAGAGTAAAAAACATGAGATATCCAACTTATTTACATATGGTCTAAATGAAGATATTTACATATAAACAAACATATATATGGTATGTGATTAAAACATATGGTAAAAGTTTAAATTTTAAAAAAGAATGTATTACAATAAGAGACACATTGCCATTAACACCCCTGAAAATACTCCTCCTTTGAATACACTTCTCCCATTATCCTTGACACTTTCTGAAGCACTTCTGGAAATCCTCTTTCATGAGTGTCTTTAGTTGTACCGTCATGGTTCCCTCAATGTTATAAATCAATTCAAGATGTTCACGTTCATAGTCACTTTGATTTTGACAAAGAGCCAGAACATCCATGGACAAGGACAAACCTTAATGTTTTTATGAAGCTGCCTTTCTATTGGATGGCACTGGGCAGCAGCATTCACTGTAATTTTTTTTATCATGCCTATTAAAGACAGGAAACATGACAAGAAATAAAGTGGCAAGAATGATGGCATGTGTGTTCAAAGTGAGGGAGAAAAAGCCAAGGGGGATGGACTATTTTGAGGGGGATTAATGACAATGTCTCTCTATTGTAATAATTCCTTTTATTTGAACATTCACCATATGCTTGATCATATTTCATATATATACATCTATGAATAGATAGATAAATATGTAGGTGGACCAAGAAAATGACAGCAAATGCAGGAAAATCCTTTACCTTAATCCAGATAAAGGATTAAAAGGAATCTTCCATAATATTTTTATAACTTTTCTATAAATTTGAAATTATTTCAAAATACAAACAAAAAACCACTCTCATGCCAAGACTGTAACAGTAAATATATGTGTAGGTGACTTATTAGTTGAAATAAACCTGAGTATATTTTGTCCAATCATTCTACTACTGTGTAACTACTCATCAATAATGTACATGTATGTGTAGCTAACAATATGTACAACAAGACAGCACTCCTTCCAAAACAAAAAATCTAGAAACAACCACATGTCCATCCCTAAGTGCATGGATAAACTGTGAAATATTAAGTAGAATAGTATATAGCAGTAAACTAAAACACAAATAAAACAGGAATAAATCTCATAAACTAACATCAGCGAAAGCAGCCAGATATGAAAGAACAGATGCTTTATCTTCCCATTTATATTTAAAGTGCAAAACTAACTGATGCTATGAGAGGTCAGCCTGGCAGTTATGGGTGGGAAAATGAGAGGTTCTCTAGACTGCTTCCATTCTCACCTGGGCAGCAGTGACATAGTGGTGGTCCTTTCTGATGGTCCACTGAGCTGTGTGCTTATGATTGGCATACTTTTCAATGAAAGAGGTTTTACTTCCTAAATGTACTTCTGGCCTATTAATTCTATGCTGTCAAGCTAAAAGAATATATAGAAAAATGTACAACAAAAAGACTTCAATTCAGAATTTCTCATAGCGAAGAAAACATTGAAGAGAACTGAAAGTGACCCTGCCTGATTAAGCGTATCACCCAATGTAACCACCAAAAGATGAAGTTTTTCAACCCAAAACTCATACATATTTACCGTTCGACTTCAATACTTTTGTTAGGGTAAGGTATTGAGGGATACGGGAAGCTACTGGGAAGAGTAACACGCACATCCAAGCAGGAATTCCTAAACACAAATGAGCAGCCTTATATTAAATATATGTAACCTTTTTTCCAAAGCCACTTCTTTCGTACTCTACATCCTATGCTTAGCTAACCTTTGACCTTCCCAATGGCTATTCCCATTTGTCACTTTTCAGACATGCTTCTGTTTCAGGAAGGAAACTGGAACTCCCCCTTGCTCACTTATTTATTTATTTATTTATTTATTTATTTATTTTTGTCTTTTTGAGACAAGGTCTCGCTATGCAGTTCAGGCTGGCCTTGAGCTCACTTTGTAGCCCAGGCTGGCCTCGAACTCGCAATGATTCTCCTGCCTCCGCCTCCCCAGTGCTGGGATTACAGGCGTGCGCCACCACACCTGGTTACTCTAGCTTACTTTAAATATAGTAATAAGAAACTATAAACAGGCTTGACTGAAAGTGCTGTATTCTTATTAACATGCCATATTACGGAGTGAGGCAAAGTGATATTTTTAAGTATGTACATTCTTTATTCTCTAAATTCATGGCATATTCCCTGTGTATTATAATATTTTTATAGCTAACTTTTTAAAAATTGCTCCCACAATGTTATCCCTGAAAAATCTTTCAAATAAATTCTCTATTATCTTTACCAGAAATCAGATTCAGTGCTCAAACATAACTTTGCACTAATTCAAAGCAAAGTTCAAAGGTATAATTATATTCATCAATATGAATAATCTGCCTCAGAGTGAAAGTAAATTGACACACATGGACAATAAGATACTCCAAACAGTTTAAGGATTCGTTTAAGTTGAGTAATTAATGAAGGCTGTCTAGTTATATGCTAATTCTTAGAATTCACTAAGTCTAAAAGAAAACAGGCCAAAGGCTATTCAGGATTTTGGTGGCACACAGGTTGGCTGAGAGCGTGTTTGCCTCTCCTTGACTAGAAGAACTGCCAATTGTCAAACAACTAGAAGCAACCCAAATGTCCATCAGCAAGAGTGGATAAAATGTGATGTATGAAATGGGACATTATACAGCAATAAAAGTGAATGAGGCAAGCTAGATATCAAAGAAGAACAAAAGTCACAGACTCTTGAGCCAACAATAAATAACCCATTTCGAGAGTCCCAACCTAGCTCACCACTTTTCAGAGGCTACCAACAGTCTCCTAAGAATATAAATGATTGATATAATTTTGGTATAATTTCAAATGAAAAAAGAGGAAATTCTCCAAATGTCACTACGCCTAATTTCATGTAGCTAAAAGAACAAGCAAGAAGATTTAATAGGCTACATACATTTTCCATACCAGGAACAGAAATAAAACAGAATAACCACAAGAGTCAAGAGTTTCTGCCATGCTGTGTGAAAGTTCTTGTCAACATGATCCTATACCCAAACTCAGAAAGGTAAATCTGTCATTGAAAAAGAAAAGCCATGCCTACACCTATGGAATACTCTACATACCTATGTATCAGACCTATCAGCTGTTTTAATCAGTGGTTTGAGAGTTCCCTAAGATACACCCAGAAAGGCTACGGAAAAAAAAGCTTGGTCAGGGAAGATTTGCTAAGTATGTGTTACCACCAGGTCTTGCTCCAAACAACTCAAGTTTAGACTCTGGGATTTGAGGTAAAGAAACACAAATAATATGAAAAAATATAAAAAGATAATCAAGTCATCAACAGCTTTGAAGCTACTGGTTTATAGCTCTCTTAACAAACTTATTTGGAACTCAAATTACTATATTAGAAACAGATTAGAACAAGCACACAGGAAGATGCATAAATATCACTCCAAAATTAATCAGCCACTTTTTAGTAACTTAGCATATCACTGCAGAAAATTTGGCTTTGCAAACAGAGGACACTGATCTCACCTGATTTCATGTTCATACTGTGGGGACAGTCTACCTGAATTCTGGTAAAAGCTTTTCAGGAAAGAGGGGGCAGAGAAGGAAGGGGCAGAGAAGGAAGTGTGGAGGCTTGGAAGGCTGGAGGAAGAATTACTCTCCTTGTGCATGCGTCGAACTGACGGAACGAGGCTGAGTACAGAAAATACAGCAAATTTGTCTTAATGTATATTTTGGCAAAGTCTTCATTCACTATGAAAAAAGCATATAAACAGGTTCTCGCTATTAGTTTAACCTTTGTTTCCAAGGCTAAGGGATGGATCTCACAGGAGAAAAAGAGGGGAGCATGCAGTTATCTATGTGGGTAACAGCGTGAGTTACACTTTTTTTTTTTTTTTGGTTTTCTTCTGGTACCAGGAATCAAACTCACAACCTCGAGCTTGCCAGGCAGGTGCTATGCCACTGAGCTAAATCCCCAGCCCCTCCAAGTTACACTCTTACTAACTGAATTGCTCATCTACAAAACGTGTCTGTGTTCATCTCTAAAAAAAAAAAAAAAATTCTTAATAATTTTAGGATAAAAATTGTGTATTTTTACATACAAAAGACACATCAAGGGAAAAAATTAGAAAGCACAAATAATTATAGGAAAACAAGTTCTAGAAGGAAAGCCTACTTAGAAGTTCAAAGATTTCAACTATTTTAGAGGTATAAACCCTTCTAAATACTGATGTACGTATTTGGCTGTTAGACCTTTGGCTCATCCAGTCTCAGAAGTCATTTGTGTTCTTTCCTGAAGCCTGTGGAATTGTGCCACTATGGTTTAACTATGGATTAATCCAAAGCCTAAGTCTCCACACAGTTCTTTTATTTTCAAATAAGACTCTTCATATGGCAAATTTTTACAATGACATAATAGTATCTTTTTATATAGACAGAAACTATTTGAATTCACAGTTTACAAAAATGTAGAAAACATAGGAAAAAACTGAAATATCATCTATAGTTTGAAATAATTGATGTTTTAATTCTTGAAAATAATTTTTCCTGGAAAAAAGAAATCTATTGCCCTGGATATATATAACTGAAGTAATCCTTTCAAAAATCATAGTATGCATAAGAACACTTAATCTCCTTCAAACACAAAAATCTGGAAAATTAATTCTGTTGACTCAATTTATTTTTATATTATAAGTCTTATTTTAAAATTTCAAATCATGTAGGACACAACAATAAGAATAAAATTGTACCCTTAAAAACATGCTAGTAAGCTGGGTGATCCCAGCATTTGGAAGCTATTGCAAGTTTGAGCCCAGGATGGACAATTAAAAAACTAAAAAGTGCTAGAAATGTAGCTCAGTGCAAATGCCCTGTGTTCAACTGTCAGCACTGCAACAATAAACAAAAAATGCTAGTACATTTGATAACACTTGATGTAATAACTAGCCTTTTTAGTGAAGTTGTTATTTGAAATTTTATTTTCTTTTTTTTTTTTTTTGCAATGGGCATCTTTAGCTAATCCTGTTTTCTGTATCAAACCCATAGGTAAAAAAGAAAAATAAGATTAGCTCTAAAATATGATTCTGATCTGAACTACACCATAAGAAATATAACCATTCCTCATTTCCTTACTACTTCTACTATTTTTCATCAGATGTCAAATAATTTTATTAAATCATTTTTAAAAACTATGCAAGCTCATTTAAAATGGACATTGTCTGCAATTACAGTATACACACCTCTTTTAATTCATCACTATTGTAGATAATATTTATAGCATTTTCATACTTAGCTTTAATTTATTGTATAACAAAATAACAGTCAATTTTCTCACATGCAAAGGTAGCTCAGATAATATTTTAAGCCTGGTTCTCTGCTGCAGGCTAACAGGAAGTTCTACTGCTTTGTCGTTTTCAAAGTTGCTGACTCTGATTTTTTGTAGCCATCACTGAGACTGAGTAATACGTGTTGACCCTAAGTTTTCAGAAAAGAAAAACTGCACATTTTATTTTCTCTATTTTTCTGAGAGGAAAAAGTTTCTATCCCAAATGCATTCACTCTTCTTTCTGGATGTGCCTTAATTGTGCCCCCTTTCCCTTAGTCACTGAAAGAAAGAAAATCAACCTACTTTTTATGATCTTTCTAAAAACTACATACTGGTGACAGCAGGACATCACAACCTACCCTGACTCCACAGTGACCAGACAGAAAAACACGGGAATTTGATCTCACACCCTGCAGGCGCAAGGTCTGGACTTACCTGCACTGCTCGCTGGAGCTCTGCCTCAGCAGAGGGGAGCGTACCCCATGGGCCCTCAAGTCTTGCAAGTTCAGCTTTCTCTTTGAACTTGATGGCGGGTGGCTGAAAGTGTGCGCCCGTCTTCGAAACTGCGGGGAGTCGGAATCCTCCTCAGGGAACGCCTGCCACGCTGAGGACAGCGGGGAGGCCGGCGGTGTCCCTGGTGGAGAGTCTCCTGGTGAGTAGTCCTGAAACGCAAGCACAAGTGAGGTCTTTCTTTCCTCCCTATGAGGGTCACAGCAGAGCTGCTGAAACTCAGAGGTCAACAGCCACAGGGCGTCTCATCCTCCTCCTGAGTCGTGACAAAACGTATTTTTTTTTCCTTTTACTCAATCTATGGTGAAGGTTAATCAGTATCACCATAACCCAATGCTTCTGATAAGCAGCTGTAAGGCAGCATCCGTACAGATAGGCCAGAAAGTGAAAGGGATGATAAGAAAAGGTATTCTTTCCCCTCACACGTTGTGGTCAAAGGCAGCTCTACTCTTCTCATTGTTGCCAGAGAGATGAAATGAGACTACGATCAAAGAAGGCAAAGCCTATGTTTACAGATCTCCTAACTTCTGTGATATATCATTGCACGCTTCCTGTACTGTCAAAACAATATCACAATGCCTAAGTGCCCAAGTCTCATGGCAAAACCTTTAGGAAAATAAAGTGAAATTTGTTAAAAGATCTGTCTTCACTCTGGATGTTTCTAGCCAACCACACTCTCGCTGAGGTAAATTCCTATAAAACACATGAAAAACAGGAAATGAATGAAAAGTCAGCTGTGCTGGAATGCATGTCCTACTGCACGAACAGAGCAGACATCATAAATCTTTCAATTCAGTCAAGTATGCTGTTTATACTTTCCTATATTGACAGGCACCACTGAAAAAAGGTTTAGCCTGATAAACATGGGTTAGGGATAGTAGACTCATAGGTAAGCTAATTTCCTAATCCATCAACAGAAGGTTTAATAAAACATCTTACTATCGTCTCATTTAAAAAAATACTGCATATGCCTCAGGTTACAAGTTGCACAATACAGGGAAAAAAGAAACTGAACCCAGTAAGAGTTATCTAGGACATAATGAGGCTGATGTGGCCATTGATATGACAAAAAATGAGAGGAAATGTAAAATGGAAGGAGAACAATAAATACAACACAATCACTATACCAGTGTAGTAATCAGATGGTTCATTTTATATGGATTTGGATCAACAGCTACTCAAATACTATCCTCCCAAGCAGCAGTCTATCTACCAATGGTAACTGCCTAGAAGAGTTCAGTCAGCCTATAAGGGATGCACTCTGTCCCACCTCAGGAAAGCCTCGCTGAATAAAAAACATGTTAATACCCAGATTCTTCTTATTAAGATAATATTAATATTTAAAGCCATAAAGGTCTCATGATAAATTAGGCATGCATATTACTATATCAGTGAGGGGTTTTGCTGAGCTGTAGTCTGCAGTAAACAAAAGGGAGCTTTGATTAGATACCTTCTCTGAAGCAAGACTGTTAGACCGTTCAAAGCTGTCCACACTTCCAAGCCGACCTCTCATTCTGTTAGCTCCCTAGTGAAGAGAATAAAAGTAAGCCTTTATATGGTTTGCATTTTTACTTTAAAACTACAGAAGGCAACTTGAGGTTGCCTCTCCATGTGAGCACTCAGTCAATCCTTTGTGCTTCACTCATTTGTCAGCTATTTAACCAGCCACCACATGGGACCACAGTATTCCCAATCTATTTCCATTATCTCTAAGTCAGTTGTTAGAGAACAAAACACTCAGATCAAGCATTTTGAAGTTATTTTGGTTACAAGATTAAACAGTATTCATCCATCAAATCAGTGAAAACTCCAGTAATTTTGCACCTCATAAGATAAATACAAATGTGGAAGATACAGCAGAACCAATCAAAATAAAGATAATAGTTTAATGCACACAATCTCTAAACTGTGTATTAGTTGGCATAATCCACATTACAGGATTATAATTAATAAGTTGAAAATTAAATAGAAACTGCCTTGGAAAATTTATTAATTTTGCTTCGTTCATGTTTGGTGAATTGGCTCTATTTTTTTAGTTCTGAGGACTGAACCCAGGGCCTCCTCCCTGCATGCACTCTGCCACTGAGCTACGTCAGCACTTTTAATTTTTATTTCTGAGATGGAGTCTTGCTAAATTACCCAGGCTAGACTCAAATTTACAAGCTTCCTGCCTCAGTCTCCTCAGTAGCTGGGATTACAGGTATGAGCTTCTCACCCGGCAGTAAATTGAACCTTCTTTCTCTGGTGTAGATATCAAAAGTCATCAAAGAGCACCATAAGATCATCTTGCCTATTCCCCTCTCTTTACAAAAGGAGGAAGGAAAGCAGATTCATGAAGGAAAGGGTACTAAGGCAGGTTAGGAACCACATCATCTAGAAAGTCTTAAGAGACCAAGCACAGACTGAGGAGTTTGACACAACTCCAGTAAAACAAATGAAAACGTTCTAACAGGAATGACTGGAAGTAAAAGTCAGGTTGATATGACAGTGAGTGTTAAAGGAAAACATGTACAGCATCTGCATAGTACTTCATAGTTTCACACATATGGAAGAAGCAGAAAAGACTGATTCATTTTACTTTTTAAAGTAATGCCTACACAAAGTTTCAGAGGTCCTACTGTACTGTCAAAGTTTATAAGAAAAAGTGACCATCAGAATCACCTTCTCTCACACTTTGAAACTCACTCCCCAAAACCCAATTATTCCTATTGATGCTTCTGGGATTCACCTCATACTACTATTCCTTAATCTTTCCATTTCAGGCACTACCTGTTGACTTCTTACTCTAGAAGATAATATTTTAGTACTCTTACTCTATTACCCACCTCTACCCCTCACACACATTTCTCTCTCTCCTACCTTAATATATATATTTATATTACAAGTTTCACTAAATCAGTGGCTTGTACTTAGCTTATTACAATTTGGTAAATACTGTGTGCAGCTAAGTTACATATTTACTCGAATTATATCTAAATACATCTCACTTCTCGTACATTTTGTTTCTCATGGAATAGTTAATGACTCGTTCGGCAACCAGGAATTTATAACAAAACTCTCCAGCAGCCCACAGTATGGTCAAACATCACATGATACATCAATTAGAGGTTTTTTTCCTTTATCTTGGAGCTAATCATTATGGAGATATCTACATTCCTGCCCTAATCTCGACTCACTCTACAGATTTCTCTAGTACACTGTTCACTCTCAACCTAGAAATTTCTTTGACTCTCTCCTCAGTTGGAATGAACTTCTGTCTCTCTGATCCCATGACTTCACTTCTCTTTTTCAGTCTACTTCCTCATTTTGGTTGAACACATTCAGGTGCTTTCTGAGAAAAAGAGAGACCATGTAGTAATTTAACCTACATGCCTGTAAATGTCATTATCCTATGCTTATATTTCATTACTAGTTTTGCTGAACATGTATTTCTTGTTGGTCATTTCCTTTATAATATGTCAGCATCACTCAAGGGTCCTTTGGGTCAAAGGTCAAGTGCCACCATGAATCATGAACCTATAGCCTATGTGTAGGACCAGGTGTTTGTTTTTGGACAGAATCTGAGTTTACCCTTGGACACCCTGAAATTTCACAACAATGCACCCTGGCATCACTTTTATTCAGGTGTTCTAATATACACTGTCTGAACCCATTACATCTGGAAACTCATATTCATTAATTCTAAGAAATTTTTCAAAATTATCTCTTTAAAACTTCCCTGCATGCATTTTTTCTTCCAGAGCACCCATCATTTGGCTTTTGCATTTCCAGACTGATCTTTCAAACTTTTGCTGTGCTCTGTTTTCCAGTGCTTTGTCATTTTGCTCTATTTTCTGGACAGGTTTTTTTTGTTTTGTTTTTGTTTATGTATTTTTTTAACTGTAGCGTCCTCGGTTTCTACTGGAATTTTCTTTGTATGTCTACTGCCAGAAATATTTGAGTTCTTTCTGGTTTTCACCTAACTTTTTTATGTGAACAATATCCTCTTGTTTCACAGAAACAATATTTATTCTTATCTGTACATAATGTACTCACCATTACAACAGTTATAACAGCACTATCACTAATAAAATTAATAGCTGCATCTCATATTACTGAATGCTTCTCATGGGCCATATACTGTGTTAAGAATTTCACACTGTATTATCGCAATCCTCACAACTCTTTGAGGTAGCTATAACTATTTAGCTCAGCCTCATAGACAAGAACACAGCCTCATAGACAAGAACACTGATGTTCTGATAACTATGCTGCCCAAATTTACACAGCCACAGGACAGAGCAGCAATGTGAACACAGCAGGCATAACTTCAAATGAAGTTCTTGAGCTCCTTTTCAATACTATCACTCTAAAAGGGAGTTTAATTAAACAGAATTATAAATAAAATGAATTAATCTACGTTGGTTAAATGAAATTTTGCTAATGTCAGTACTTCATCAAGGTTCTTTCAGTTCTTCAATTCTATGCTATAACTAACATATTTCTAAAAATAAACTAATATATTATTAGGTTAGTCTGTACGGTAAACAGGGAAACAGTAAAGACCAAGTTGCTTTCTGTGACTTTTAGCTGCTACTTACATAGTAACATGTCTGGAACCTCAAACAGCTGATTTACTCATAATGGAAAAGCAGTCAGACGGGGACAACCATTTCCATTATTAGAAAAGCGAGTTAAATCACATATTTTACTCACTGTGTCTGTCATTTTTGCACAAAGAAGAATAAACTTAAACTATACTATTATTAATTTACTCATTTCCAGAGGTAGACAGTGGATTTTAAATGAAGGAAGTGTGAAGGGCTAGCACTTTATATTACTATTTGCTCTGAAAAACTTCAACTAAAGAAGCAGCAGCAACAACAACAAAAAGAAACAGCAACAAAGCCAGGATTTAGGATTTTGTCTTCTACCTTTGAACAGACAACTTTTTTGGTTTTACACTACGATTTTGTAATTTACGGTGGAAACCTTTCCCTTTGACCTACTTTTTACTATTGAGCTGAGCTTCAAAGCTTTTTAAAAATAGATCCTACATCTTAAGCAACTATAGTTAGCTAAATAAAATATTATGGCATATAAAAATGGCAGCAAGTATGAGCTAAACTCTATGACTGGAATGGGAATTTTCTACCATACAACTCAGACGGAAAAAAATAACAAGCTTTTGCTTCTTATTTTGCTATGTAACTTTTTACACAAGTTTCCAGCCTTCTTAACAAGTCTATTTTGCTGCATATGGCACAAACAAGATCTTGTTAGGTCACAAAATTTATGACATCTGGCATAACTTTGGGATACAAAAGCTACTATAGTCACCCTGACCAAAATAAACTAGCTGTGCCCTTGCTGAAGTCATCACAGCAATTCAAGGCATGCAGAAGAGGCACTTCAAAGTCGGCCGTGTGCACGCTGTGCAAAGGCCAAAGGACTAAGTGGAAGTAAAGACGGTAACACTCTGATGACCCTTCCGCTATTCTATAAACGCTAGAGGCTTCAAGCTTACTATTGGACAGGCTACCACAGATGTACGGTGTCATGTTTCCCTCACACACATTTAATCCTCAGAACGACATGGGGTAAGTTGGTACTGCTATGTGTTTTATTCGAGTGGGGAAATTATATGGCTTAGAAAAAAATTTCTCTAAGCTCATAAATACAAAATCTGCTAGGGCCAGATCTTGCCTTCAGGTCCCCTAACCGCCTACTTAATGTTCTTTCTAATAAAATAAAATTCATTAAACTGTGTTTAATTCTGGCAGATGGTATTATTGGACATTGGTTCCCTGTTACGGTATTACTGCTTTAAGAATTATACTTAGAAGAGTTGCTCTAGAACTTCAGCATCACCTGGAGGACGTGTTAAAACCCAGATTACTGGACCTCAACTATAAAATTCCATATAAGTAGGACAGGATTCCAAATGCCTATCTTGCCCAGATAATACTAATGATGCTTGTGTGTGACCATACTTTAAGAACAAATGGCTATCCTGGAGGAGGGGCAATCACAAATGAATTAAGTTGTAAAATTAAGACTGTATTTTAGAATCACTAGTAGAGCTTCCCAAGTACACAAGTGTGTACTTGGATGCCTCACATCCAGGATATTTTCATACAGTGAAAGTCGGTTTGGGCCTGGGCATTTGTATAAATTTTGGAGAACACCATAAATGCTGCCATCCATAGGACTAAGAGAACAGGTGGTCAGATACACTTAGATCCACATTTCTATGAAACAAGCTCTTCACTAAAATAAAAGTGGTTATTCTCATTAGTAAAGCCATTATTAAAAAAGGAAATTACAAGTGTTGGCAAGGATGTAAAGAAAATGGAATCTTCATGGATTGCTGGTAGGAATGAAAACATGATGCCTCCAGCAAAGGAAACAACCACAGACAATCTATGGAATGGGGGAAAAATTTGCCAGCTATGCCTCAGACAGAGGAGTTATATCTAGAATATATAAAGAACTCAAAAAATCAGACTCCCAATAAAAGATCCAATCAAAAAATGGGTAACTGAAATGAAAAGACATTTCTCAGAAAAACTACAAATAGCCAATATATGAAAAAAAAATGTTCAACTATCTGGCCATTAGAGAAATGTTCATTAAAATGACACTGAGATTTCATTTTATACCAGAAAGAATAGCTAATGTCAAAAAATTAAATAATAACAAATACTTGCAAGGCTGTGGGGAAAAAAGAACCCTTCTACATGTTTGGTAAAAGTGTAAACGAGAAATAATGATTAGGATGTCAGTATGGGGATTCCCAAAAAAACTAAAACTAGAAATTCCAGTCAGCCCCGCTCTTCCCCTTCTAGATAGCTTCATAAAAGAGTTAAAGACATCCTGTTACAGTGATACATGCATACCCACATTTATAGCAGCACAACCCACAATAGTTAAATCTTGAAAGTGGCCTATACATTCATCAATAGAGGAGTGGATGAAGAAAATGTGGCATTTATACACAGTGAAGTTCTACTCTGCCATAAAAGATAAGAGTCATCTGTAGGAAGATGGATGCCCCTTGAGACCATAGTGTTAGGTGAAATAAGTCAGACACACAAGCTTAAATATCACATGGTTTCTCTTATATGAAAAACCCGGGGCTGGGGATTCAGCTCAGCAGTACAGTGCCTGCCTGGCAAGCGCAAGGTCGTGAGTTCGATTCCTGGTACTGGAAAAAAAACCAAAGTAAAAAAAAGGGAAAAACCCAAACATAAAAAAGAACAAAATAAATATAATAAGAAAAAAGGAGAAGATCTTTTGGAAAAGGGGAGGGAGGCAAGATTTAAAAGGGGAAGGAGAAGAGAAAAGGATGAAAAAAAGAATTAAAATGTGTTATGTGCATGGACCAACTTCCCTCGAGGAGTGTAATGATCATGCACTGCAAGCATGTACTAATAAAAAGATAAAAACTTTTAAAAAGTTGCATCCTCTATGAAAAACAATACAATTTTCTTCCCAAATAAAATATTCCCCAAGTAAAAATACAATTACCATATATTTCAGCAAATTCCACTTCTGAGCATATGCCAAAAGAACTGAAAGCTGGAACTCAGCCATATCCATGGTAATATTATTCACAACAGCCAAAGGTAGAAGCATCCCAAGTATGCTTTGATAGATGACTGAATAAACACAATGTGGTATGTATATACCCTGAATATTATTTGGCATTAAAAATAAAATTCTGACACACGCTACAATCTTGAAGACACGCTAAGTGAAGTAAGCTGGTCACAAACGTCAACTATTGTATGATTCTACTTGTAATGAAATTCTCAAAGAAATCAAATTCATAAACACAGAAGGTAGAATGAATAGTAGTTGCTAGAAAATAGGGGTGGGGGATAAAGAATAGGGAGTTAGTGCTGAATGTATGTAGTTTCAGTTCGGGAAGATGAAACACACTCTGAAGCTGGATAATGTTAATGGTTGAACAGCATGAGCACAGTTACCACCACTGAACTATACCTTTAAAAAATTAAAATGAAAATTTTTACATTAGTATACATGTTTTTCACCAAAATAAAAAAGAAACTAGATGGTTGCAGATGTAGCTCACTGGGAAAGCCCTTGCCTAGCATGCACAAGGTCCTAGGTTCAATCCCCAGCACTGCCAATCAAGCAATCTGTACATTCACAAAGTCTTAATTCTCTTTTTCCTCAGATCTACCCTCTGAATCTTTTCTGAAGACTGTGTTAGCTGAGGGTGTGGGCTGTGTTTTGCAAAGCACAGGTAGAGATGAATTTCTTACTAGCTTGAATAGTAGAGTCAGTGGTTTACACAGCCATCTGCTCTTTCTTTTTTTTAGTTTACCACTTAAAAAAATACTCTCCTCCACTTGTGAGAAGACATCACTTACAGGATACCATTCCCGTATATCTCAACACAGATCTCTTTGACAGTACACACCATTATTTTGTAGCCTGTGACTTTTAGCTTTTATAATGAAGAGCTTCCTACCTTTCAAACCCTAGCCTGTCTACAATAACTGTTTTTAAAATTCTGGGTTTTTATAAAGATTTTTTTAAAGACCTTGATTTTGCACCTTTTTAATATATTTTTATAATGACAAGATAATTTTTAAATAGTCTATTTGATTTATACAAGGCTGGTGAAGTAAGGAAGCACTTTTGCTTCAAAGAATCACAGTTTCTTTATTTCAATGAACTTACTTTAAGTCCAGTAATAAAAGGTAAAGCTGGATTCTAACCAGGTGTGGTAGTTAGGCCAGAGTTTCAATTTAAGTAGCTTTCAGATCCAATCCAGGGGATCAGTGGAACACACTTCTAGGTGTATTTGGTTGGTCAAGGAAGCACGGGCTAGGGTTCTGTGTCTGGTCACTCCCCAACCTCCTCTCTGGCACTGTTCCCTTGTTCTGCTTCCCAGCCACCATGAACTAAGTAGCTTTGCTCCACCATGTGCCCCACCATGATGTTTCTACCTTGGAGCCACCAACCATGTAGTCCATCTCTTGAAATTCTGAGCTAAATTAAACTGTTCCTGATTTAAATTGTGGGTGTGGGGTGTCATATCTCAGTGACAGGAAAGCTAACTAATAAAGCAGGCATTTTGGCATACAACAAACAGTTTTCCTCAATGATTTTTTAGAAATGGACCTTAGTTCATTCTTGAATTTAGAAAGAAAGTAAGCAAAAAGAAATGGAAGGCAGGTGAAAAGGAGAGTGGGGAGGACATTAATTTATAAATTTTAAAGAAAAAAGGCATCAACATTTTATGAACAGCTGCACTGACATACTTCTGATGAACCTCCCAGGTGTCCTTTTCTGAATTCACTGGGTTTTTCTTGTTTTTTGGTTTTGGTACCAGAAATTGAACTCAGGACTTTGCACTTGCCAGGCAGGCACTGTGCCACTGAGCTATATCCCTGGTCCTGGTCTTATTCTTTTCTGAGAGTCCGGTTTCTACTGATACAATAAGGGCATTCACAACTGACCATGCTTGCTTCAGGGCTTTTTTTAAAATTAGAGGAATCTTAATCATTAAGAGAAATACTTGTAACAGTATTTTGATTTCTAGCAAAGAAATAAAACTAAGAACACCAGAATATTGGGGACTCAATGCTCTATTGAACAAACATGGAACAATTCAAAATGTATCCAATTATTTGAATAAACATGTTCTTATAATGTTGTTAATGCTCAACAGCCCTAAATACATTCTTCAAAACGACATACATTTGCAAGTAGAGTTAAATGGTTTCAGAGCCTCTCTCACGCTCTAAGAATTTGCATCACCTCTTCAAAAGAATTTAAAGATCACTGAAAAACACAATTACATATTAAAGGTGAAATTTTCTTTCTATACTAACATGAAGGCCAAGAAAGTTAAAAAAAAAAAAAAATGCATCAAGAGCATCTTTTGAAACTACTCAGAGCTAAAACACCCACCATCCAACCAGTCCGACCACCTGGTATACACACAAAATGTATTAAGTACAGAAAAGGGAATTATTGACAGAACAATGGTGGTATTTCTGACCCACTGATAGCCTGAAGTATGTATTCCCATGAATAACAACAACCAAATAAAAGCACCCCAAACAGGCTTTGCAAAGTGTGTATGACAACATACTGGAATATTTTAGTGTACATTTTCTAACAATCAAGGACTTCCTCCAATGTATAACTGCTGATAAAAATATATAGTAACTGTTTAAACAAAACTTTGTAGAAACTTATTACAACAAAAGACACAATGCCATTAATCTCAAAACACTCCACTTGGCTTTGAGCACACATTTCATCATTCTTGCCACTTTCTGAAGTAATTCTGGAAGTCCTCTTTGGTGACTCTCTTTTTTTATGGATGCTTCAATATCCTATGTCAATCTGAAATGTTTATGATAATTTCTGTCAAATAAAAGCATTATGGTATGTTGTCATTTACTTTACACATCAGATCTAGCACCACACAACTTCTGGCTCTTCTCCAAAGTAAAAATAACCATAAAAAATAAACATTTTGAATTGATTCAGGACACCGAGGCAGCTATGACAGTGTGACTAAAGACACTCAGGAAAGAGGAATTCTACAACTTCTTCAAAAAATGACAATATGGGATACGTGTGGGTTTAAGTGAGGGGAAATATTCTAAGGATTAACGGCAATGTGACTTTTGCTGTAATAACTTTTTTTATAAATTAAACATTCACTGTATTTTTCTCTATTGTTCAACTTCATATATCAGAGAAAATAAATCTGGAGAAGGAATCTTATTCTGAGAGATTATCTTAAATAAGTATTAACTAAATTAAAGTTACCTCGAGAGGTTTTTATTTAAAGGAAATCCTCAGTGAAGCAGCTGAGAATGACGCAAAACAATCAGAAAACAGAAGTATGTTTACCTTAAAAATTCTCATTTCAATCTTACCCTTGAGAAGATATTTTCCAGGGAGCTAGTTAAGGATCTCTTTGCTTTATTTTTCAGAATGTCAAGTTTGAACCTTCCACTGCTTGTAGCATTTTCTGGGACTGTACTATTTGAAACAGTCTAGAGAAAGAAAAGTAGAGTAATTTTAGTTCTGACAAATTGAAGGTTAAATGAGGCTTAAAGCTAAACTATAAAACAACACAAGAATTCTTCAGTAGTTCTATTAAGAAGTAATAATTTAGGTTCCACCCTGTGAACACAAAGATTATGATGTTTAATGCTTAATATTATAAGTAATAAAAAGAGACATAAGATCTTCCCCTTCTGCTAAAATATTCCTGCTTTATTTAACAAAAATTAAACTCGAGAGATGTCAATTTTTCCCTTTTTTGGTTATTAACTACCACCATCCCTTTCCAAGGTATATGTTTTGTATCTAAATTACCAAAAACAAGGAAACAAGTGTCCAAGAGTAAAGCATTTTGCACAAAACAATTGGACTCTAGTAATGCCTCTGTCATAATTCCATTTTTGTTTTGTTTTTCTGAGACTGAGTCTCACTACATATACATACTTCAGGCTGGTTTTAAACACATGGCAAAATTCTCCTACCTTAGCCTCCTGAGTGCTGGGATTACAGGCATGCCCAGCTCATAATTCCATTTTCATTTGTGAGGTGATTTATTCTCTAGATTAATAAGTATTTGCCTATAGTACTAAGCTATAGTAGGGTCTGTGAAGTACCCATTATATTAGGTTCTTTTTATTCCCCTAAATAAGCAGCTCCTATGTGCTAGAAGGAGATAATAAACTTTATAATTTGCTAGAGGAAGGAGTAACAGCACAGACCATATGTACATATAGAAACGGTCAACATGAAGATGGGTCATGGATTTCAGTGGTAGGAGGAAAGGGTACACAGGATGCAGATGGGCAGGAGAAAGGAGACACAGACTTCCCCAGAACTGGAGGTCGTTGTTGCCAAAAACAGTGTAAGTGTCTAAAATCAATGGGAGTGGTAGAAGAGAACAGGAGGACTGCGGCTGAAGGGAAAATCCTGAATGATCTCATGTGTCAGGTAAACAGGAAGAATTCTCATCTGCATTTACAAGGAAAGGAGCATCCCTGTCAAAATTACGCTCTAGGGAAATTTATCTCAAACAAGTGCTCAAAAACACCTAATGATCAGAGAAATCAGTTTGAAAGACCAAACCAGATGAGTGGCTTTGGCATAGTCCAAACAAGAGGCAATAAAGGCCCACAGCAGTGCCCGCTCTGTCAGATCATTCAAGAAGTTATGGATGTAAGACATACAGTGATGTAAAGACCTAACCGAAGTTGGTGTTTCAGAGGGGTACACATATTGTGATCTCCTTCCGTGCTCCTGTAGTGGTCTTGGTTTAACTCTGTGCCACTGGGAATAAACCCTAGACAGCGGGCACAGAAATGCTAACCTTTCGTTTGCCAGGAGGGTGTTTACCTGGGCTGCCAAAGCTTTCCATTTCACATGAATTTGAAAAAAAAAAAGTAATAGACTAACATACGTAAAAATGCGTGCTCATTCTACATCCTGAACATATAGGACTGCTTCTCTGAAGCAAAACCATAAATTCATTCCTATATTAAAACTATTATTTTATCAATGTACCAGTACCTGCCATAATTTCCTGTAAAGCTCCTAAAATGCTGGGCTGGGGGCAGAGGGGGACGGATAGGACATTAGCCCTGAAGGAAAGAAATGTCCTTCACATTTTCCGTGATATTTTAGTCAGATGCTAAAGACAAACAAAAAGTAGGTCAGGGAGAAAATCTCCTCTCACCGATGGGCCTTCCCCGATGTGTACATGTGTCTTCTGCTTGGCTTCACACAGCTGCCTCAGGTGTAAAATCACAAGTTCATTTTCTTCCTGGTCACTGATTGGCTTCATTTTCTGTTGAACAGACAAACCCAAGAGCGCACTGTGGCAACACAGCTCCTCTTGCTTTATTCTCACTTAGTTTTAGGGTACACACACATGTAACAATGGCTTTCCAGTTCAGCCAAACAATCCCAGAGGACATGTATCTGTAACTTCAGACAGAGGAATAAAAAAAGGAATTCACAGCAACAAGATCCAACTCTCATTCCTTATATTTTATTGGTGAGAACTACAAACAATGGTACCTGAACGCGTTCAAAGATGTCAGCTTGTTCATTATCTGTCAGCGTCGAGAGATGCCTCTGTATTACCAGCTTGGCTCTTGGCGGGTAGAGACCTGAGATGAGGGAAAGCACGAAGCAAAGGCTGACGGCACATCGTAGTACTTCAGCCCTTGCCAGCGGGCTATTGAACGCTAATATTTTCAAAGAGGTGTGTTCCTGCCTCTAATGAAGCCCAGAGCACAACGGAGAGAGGATTAAAAACCCGACGAGAAACCTCTCCACCAAATCACAGCCCCCTAGAGCCCACAAGGAGCTAAAACTACTAACAAAGAATTTCTAAATGATATCAAGCACAACCAAGATACGACGTGACAGCCCAACAAGGAGCGCCACCACAGAACCTCACAGGTGAATCAACATTATCCTAGGATCTGGCCGAGAAATAAAAGCCAAAATACCCAAGCTTACAACCTGATGCTTAAATAGTAAAAAATAATACAGGTGAGAAAGTGATCTTTTCCCCTCATGTGGCTCTTGAATTGTGGGAATAAAGTATGGCATCAGTATTAAATGTACTACCAGTGCTATTGTTATACCAAGAAATTGTTTGCTTCTTTATACTGTGTGATTTATAATTCCTTCACATTTTTATGCTTAATTTGTATTAAGTCTATGGGGGTAAATTTTCCATGAAAACATTTGTGATTTTATTTTTTAAGACAAAGATTAATTCATAGTTACAATAATTCAAGTGATCTTTTAGGAATACATTTTCAATGCATAGCTAAGTGCAACTTATAATATTACTACTGTATTTTAATTATAAAAAGAGGATATCTAGCTATAATATTTAATAAATCTTATCAGTGAGAGCTGGCAATGTACCTTGCATGTGTGAGGGCTTCAGTTTGATTCCCAATACCATAAAAACAAAGTGAAACAAAAAAATCCTTAGAGATGAACTGGCATTTTAAAATCATTGTTATTAAAGTCTATCTTTCACAACTGCAGTGAAATACTTATATAGTTTTAAGCCATAATTTGATTATTTTCCATGTATTCATTAGTTTTATTTAGAAAGTGTAAGGCAAAGTAATTAAAGATATCTTTATGATTCACTTTGCTAAGTTGTATCATATAACTTACAAATAATATCATAGTACATCAGTATATTGCTAAGTTGCTATTTATTTCAAGAATATATGTAGCAATAGCTAATTGAAATAAAATAATGTGTTCAATTTAACTACTTTTTAAGGTAAGAATTATCTAGAGGTCTACACACAGCATGGACAAGAATCACTTTAAACTACCCATTGTTTTATTGCTTTTTTAATTTTAAAAAGAGAAAAGAATAAAAATGAAACAGACTAGGAGAGTAACAGTAATTAATAAATAAAACACTCTAGGACAGTAGCAATAATTAATACACTGTGTATTGTTATCTTCATAGTAGTTACTCTGAGTACAAGATATAGGCATGAAATATTGTCCAAATATTAGTGCAAACTTATCCTTTCAATAAGCTGAGAGAAACTAGCTGTATAACTACCTTAACTGTCTTGTGTATATATATCTAATTTTTTTTCCTTTTCCTTTCTTTCCTATCCTCTTTTCCCCATCACAGTTTCACTTTTCTTTTGAACAGTTTCTTCCCAATTGACAATATCTTTTGTACAGTTTGGATCTTATTTACTTGTTCAGTTTCTCACACTAGTGAGACAATACAATGTTTACAGATGTGGGTCTGATTTATTTCACTTATGACTATGGTCTCAAGTTGCATCGATTCACTTATAAAAGTCTCAAGTTTATCCTTCTTTATGGCTGAGTAGTACTCCATTATATAAAAAAGTCATGCCCCCACAAATTCAAAGAACCAATCCAAAAATGGGCATCTGATATGAATAACACTTCTCAGATAAAGAAATACAAATGGCAAATAAATATATAAAAAATGTTCAGCGTCATTGGCCATTGGAGAAATGCAAATTAAAACAACACTGAGATTCCATCTCACTTCAGAAAGAACGGCTATCATCAAAAACTCAACCAATAACAAATGCTGGAGGGGCTGTGGGAAAAAAAGAACCCTTCTCCACTGTTTATAGTAATGTAGACTGCTGAAACCACAATGGAAATTAGTGTGGAGATTTCTCAAAAAACTAGGATTAGAGGTCCCATTTGACCCAGTTATTTCCCTTCTGGGTAGCTTTCCAGAATTAAAAACATCCTACCACAGCAATATATGTGCAGCCATGTTTATAGCAGTACAATTTGTCATAGCTAAATCTTGGAAATAACCCAAGTGCCCATCAACTGAGGAATGGATAAAAAGAAATGTGGTTATTTTATATAATGGAATATCCATTGTTTCAAAAGAAGCAGAACTGGCCTATTGCAACTGCAATATTGCTGGCCCTGTTCCAGATAACTGTATCGTGTGGAATTTAGACCCATCGCATATTTCCAAGAACTGCATGCAAAAACCTCTTAACTCTATCTTTGTGTAACACACAGCAAAACTGTGAACACCTCTGCACTCCACATTCACATATAGAAAACTGAAATGCATTTTGATGGTAGTATACCACTCACGATCTTAGCTTAGTATTTGCTGGAAAAGTCTACTTAAAAGGTTCTTGAGAAAACACAGTCTGAAATTAATTCACATCCCCAGATGATAAGGAGAAACTGATAAGAGGTTTGCACACAGGATATGGGAGACCAGGGCAGTGCAATAACTGCATACAACATGAGACCCTGATTGGATCCTGAAACCAAAACCCACTAATGAGAAAGCTGATAAAGATCAAATGAAGTGTTTCCTTTGGGTAATAATATTTTATTAATTTCCTGCTCTAATTATTTGTGTTCTACTATATATAACACGTTATAACAGGGGAGGAATACTTAGAAAAACTCTACGCAAATGTTCTTTAACTCTATAAGAAGATCAACGTTTTTTTAAAGTAATGCGTTATTCCATATATTCTTTCAGTTATAGCATATATATATCAGATATATATATTTAGTACATGTTATTTAGTAGATTATTTTTTCACTCAACAATAAAGTTTTAAGAGCTATCCATAAATATTAAAACAGAAACACAAAATCTACTGGAAGAGAAAGTAGTTAGAAATCTTGAAGACATAGGGATAGGCAGAGAATTCATGAACAAAAACCAAACTGCATGGGAAATACTTCAAAGAATCAACAACTGGGATCTCAGCTTACTGAAAAGTTTTTGCACATCAAAACAAATCATCAATAGAGTAAAATGAAAACCTATGAACTGGGAAAAAATTTTAGCCAACTGCCCTTCAGATAAAGGACTTCTATCTAGAACATATAAAGAATTTTTAAAAATCAGGCCCCCAAATTCAAAGACCCAATCCAAAAATGGGAATCTGAGATCAATACACACTTCTCAGATGAAGAAATACTAATGGCGAATAAATACATTTAAAAATGTTCAACATCATTAGTCATTTGAGAAATGCAAATTAAAACAACATTTAGATTCCATCTCACCTCAGAAAGAATGGCTGTCATCAAGAAATAACTAGTAACAAATGCTGGAAGGGCTGTGGGAAAAAAGGACCCTTCTCCACTGCTGGTGGGAGCGCAGATTGGTGAAAACACTGTGGAAATCAGTGTGCAGACTCCTCACAAAACTAGGATTGGAAGTCCCATTTAAACCAGCTATTCCCCTTCTGGGCATTTTCCCAGGAGAATTCAAAGCATCATACCACAGCGATACATGTGCACCCATGTTTATAGCAGCACAATTTGTTACAACTAAATCTTGGAAACAACCCAAATGCCCATCAACTGAGGAATGGATAAAAAGAAATGTGGTATTTTTATCCAACGGAGCATTACTCAGCTATAAAAGAAGATAAACTCAAAGCTTTTGTAGGTAAATGAATGGAACTAGATACCACACTCATAAGTGAAATAAATTGGACCCACATGTGTAAACATCATATTGTTTCCCTGGTGTAGGAACCTGAAAAAGTAAGGAAAACTCAAAACTTACACTAAATGATAAAAAAAGGAAAGAAATTGCTCCAAGGAAGAAACAATTGGGATGAGGGAAAGAAGAAAAAAGAAAGGAAGGCAATATGTGTGTGTGTGTGTGTG